AGTGAAAGCAATATTATTATTGATTTGTATTCTAATTCAAATATATATAATATATATTTATATATAAATATATATTTAACAAGTATACGCTGGTATAGTGATCTAAAACGCATATGGAATCACATTAGATCATGGAGGGAATGATTCAGATTCAAGTTTTCTAAATGAAAGTTCTAGAAATTATAATAAACAAATACTGATATTTGAAATGCAAAAAAAAATATGCAAAAACACTAAATAATATAGCACCTGAATATAATCAAAAAATATAAACAAAAATTAAATATTTAAAATGTTGAGAAAGTTTGAAAAAATTAGACCAAGAAGATATTTATTATGATAAGGAAGTTAGGAGAATACATACAATGAAATAGATTTAATGTCAAGTTGGTAGCTCCATCAAAGAATATACCAATTATAAAATACGGCCAATTAAATACAATGTTTGGCAAAGAGAGATTTATGGACAGCAACACTCCTCCATTGGCTGCGTAGCAAATCAATTAGATGGGCAATTAACGGTCGTAGTATCGCCCACAAAACTTCTCATGTTTGTACAGTTGCAAATGCCAAATGTCAAAAAGTGCGCGTGTGCCACATGAAGTCAAAGGTCAAGACGACAACATGAGGAGCCACAGCTCGCAACGAACTGTATGTGTGACTAATTAAATGGGATTCTTGGCTTCGGTTTACAATTTTACTTGCAACATTACTTAAAGTTAGTACAGCAACTGGAAAACATTTTCTGCAGCAGTTTGACATTTGAATAACAGCGAATGTATGCTGCTACAAATACCAAAGTTGAAACGGTCAACTGGAGTCGCTCTCTTTGATACTTCGCCATTTTGTGACTCTCATTCGAAAGGTTTTACGATTGAATGAAATGCGAGGAGTTCGAGATACATTCCCCGCATGACGTCATTATGTGAGCTTTTTTCATTGATGGCTGCATTTTATTCATTCATTCATTCATTCAAGTAACGCCATTTGCCGCCATTTTGCACACCCGGGCACCCAATTTCAGCAACACTTGCCTTCTGCCAGATGCCTGTTGCCTGTTGCCGGTTGCCTGTTGACTGTTGCCTGTTGCCGGTTGCCTTTTGCCAGATACAACTAACTTCCCACTTAGCATCCAGTTGCTGTCATAGCAACACACACCCACACACACACACACATTTCAGGCAGCCAGGCAGGCAGGCAGGCAAGCAGGCAGCTAACCGCAAAGGGCAAAGCGCCATCGGCATTCACAAATATCCTGGTAATGCTGGCTCAGCTCTTTCATACAAATTTATAGCTCAGTTCTCTGTGCTCTTTGATTCCTACTATACTATATATAAACTGTTGCGTTTAATGTGTAGATGCAACAGGCAGACGATGTCGTTTTCTATAGCCCAGGGTATATACAAATAGTAAACAGTCGAGTTGTTCTTTAGTAATCTAAATAAACTTATTTTAGATTTTATAATGCAAAATTACGAGCGTTGCTTTAAATCTTTATTCCTAAACAGTCGATAATTTCATTTATTTTTGTCAATAAGTAGTTCTATTAGCCAATAATCCAAGTACAAATATGTGTTAAGATACCGTAGATTTTGCTAACGGGTATCCGCCAGTCAGGCACTCTGGAGTGAAGAACTCTCTTGGCTGTTTTTGCTATCTTCAGGCAAACGGCGTTGTTTCCTAGGCAACCATAACCATTTTCATAGGTCATCAGGAATGGACTACTTATAATTAGTTGGTAGATTATACTTAAAGTATGTATCGATTCATAACTTCAATAAATATATATATATATATGTTCTACAATTAAGTGCTGACTAAAAAGATTGCTGGAGTTTTGATATGAATTGATATAAGTATAGTTGTGGTATTAGCCTCACCACCGATTGCTCATGCTTACAGGGTACTTGGCAGACAGTTGTAAATCACTTTATAGGGTAACTAGCTAATAACCTTATTATTCTATTGTATCTAGGGACACTGCTCAATTATGCTTTGGCATTGTGGGCGTTTAATCGCATCTATTAGCATATGTATATTCGTACATAGACAAGGCATTTTCGTAGTCCGCCTCCGACATTCTGGAGAAGGGAAAGCATTTCGAGTGAAATTCCTTTTAAAACAAAAACAAAATATTTTGCAACGCCCACACTCAGTTTAGTCAGGCAGTAGGTTCTTGCCATACAAATAGACCCCCACACAGTTGGGAAGCGAAATGCCAACTGGCACGAATCAACAAGTTGAAATGCCAGTCTGAAAAATGTACTTCTTCTGTTATCCTTAATGTTGCAATATTTTGGTTGATTCGTTTATTGTTTCTCTATTCTCTCTCTTTCTCTCACCATATCGCTCTCACTCTCACTCTCCCATTTCTCTTTTCAATGGCTGGCAGTTGCCATATTGTTGCCTGCTCATGCGATTATTAAAATGTGAAATGATATTGTTGCTGTTACTTATGGGGCGTAGTTGCTGCTTTTGTTTGGCCGCCTAATATCCCATTCTTGAAGCGCTTTGATTGATGCTCAACTTTGACCTTTAAATGTCAAATGGGATGTGGGACTTCCAGTTTATTGCTGTTTTTCCGGCATTTCCTGCAACTCTAATTGCTGTTGTTGCCATTGCCTTAGCTGTTATTGGTCTGGTCCTTGTTGTGGGTGTTAACATTTAACATATTCCAGGGTCGAAAATTCACATATAAAGCTTTTGCAATTCGTAGAATTCAGCATCCCAAAAGGGCAAATTCTAAATATCCAAACATTCATCAAAATGTAAAAAGTCAAGAGCTTTTCAATCACAGAGCAATTTTTATGCTACTTCAGGGAATTTGTAAAGAAACTTTGAATGATCTTCAGAAATTGTAAATGTCATGAAGATGTCTGAAATAAAAACTTATTATTATCAACAAAAAATGTATTACCTTTGTTTTGCTTGCAATTACCTTACTACAAAAATATTTAATAAAATCAAATTCGAATTATGTATATTTATAAGAAAAAAAGAACAAGTGCAAGTTCAAACAAAAACCTGTTAATATCCTGCACTCAGCATATTTTACAATTCGACCTGTTGCTAATTAGCGTATGCTTAACATCAAACATTACGCATACGCAGCATGAGCCCAACATATACGTCATTCAGCACATTAATTGGCAATTATCAATAGTTGTTTCAAGTAGCACGAAAAGTGAAAGCAATTGCTTATATGATAAGCAACGTATGACGCTATATGAATATCTATATATTTGCCAATTATTACGTAGCTAAAGGAATCGTTTAGATAGAGAGCACATCAGTTAATTAATGACTCAAATACGTTGACAATTTGTTAGGCCACTTCACAGTCGAACTCATACTCTCTCTCTCTTTCTCATTCACTTTTACTGTCTCTCTCTCTCTTTCTCTCTTTCTCATTCACTTTTACTGTCTCTCTCTCTCTCTCTCTCTCTCCCTCTCTGTCTATCTGGCTTTATCTCTCTCAACCCACACGCTGGCTGCTTCGACAGGAGCTGCCGCCGATGTGCGCCTATTCCAACAACAAATCGAGAATGCCGGTTTTCACTCTCATCTCATCTCATAACTCTCGCATCCAAAATGCGAGTATCCACCGTATAGGAGCAGCCGAGAGGTGCACGAACATACATAGAGCATTAAAGAAAATACATACAAAAAAAAAAAGCGTAATATGTGATAATATAACGAAACACAAAATAACAATTACATTGATACAACTTTTCATAATGTTGTTGTTGCTGCCTTTGCTGTTGCTCTTGTTGATGACGAAGCAGACGCTTTTCGGGAATTTCGTTTCGTTTCCGATGTTGACGCCAACGCACCCGACTTGCCGCTTCTGCCTCTGCTGTCACTGTTGTTGTTGTTGTTGTTGTTGCAGCTGATACGATTTTTCACCGATGTCGAGTTTTCCATTTTCATTTTCAATTTTCACTGCTCGCACGCCAGTAGCGCATTGACGGCTCAGCAGCTCGTCTCGGCTGCTTTCGATTTCACTTTGCCACCCGCGACGCCGTCAATCATTTCAAAATTAACAACAATTTTGCGAACGCAACGCAAAATTCATAAAACTTGAAAAGAAATTTTCAATAGAAACAAAAAATGCATATCGCAATAATGATTTGATAAAAATAGTTTTTGTGCCAAAGAGTTTTTATGTTCGAATGTTAAATAAAAAATATAAATGAAAAAATATAAAAAAAATACAAAAAATATCCGTCGGAATTTCTACAAATTGCGCGACAGTTTTTGAATAAACATATTTATTGAGAACAATTTATCTTAATTTTCTTCGTATTTACAATTTTGGATGGTCAATTTTTTAGTGAAAACAAATATATATATTTTTAAAAATTAATAAATTATTTAGAGAATCTAGAGATTAAAGTCCAAAAGTTTTTTGATGTATTTATAGATGATATTTGTATGAAAACCAAACTTGAAGAAAGATATAGAAAAGGTAATAACAAAAGGTGAAACTATTATTAGATGAATACAATATAATTTCTATTTAATGAATATGTAATAGATTTAGTAAAAGGATTATTTGTAACCAACTGTCAATTCAAAAGCTTGCTCATTTCAAAATATACTAGTATATATAACGGATAGGGTCAGCAAGCAACAGGTTTTAGGACCTAAACAAATGAAATTGCTAACAAGTTTTTCTCTTTTCACTTACAGATCTCCGCAATAATTATTCAGTTAATTAACATAATATCAAGAAAAAATCACCACTTAAAGACTGATTTAATGACAAGTGCAAAAATCGTGTGAAAAATTCAATCACAAATGTGAAATGTCAATCAAAACAAGTTTAACTTAAGCCCCTGAAATATGTGTAAATCTTAAAGCAAGATGTATAAATTCCGAAGCTAAAACAAAACCAATGGAGTCAACTGTGCTGATGCATTTTTGTTTTTCTTTTTCGTTCGGTTGCATTTTCATTTCAACAAGATTTTCATTTTCGCTCGATAACAACGCGTACAGAAGTCATAAAAATGTTGCTGACAATGAGGCGGCAGAATGAACTGATAAGCAGCCAGCAGCATTCCACACCCGGGACGATCACAAGCACAGCCACGCCTTCACCGCCTCCACCCTTGCACACAGCGGCAGCAGCCCCATCCACAGCATTAGAATCAGCGCCTGGATTGAGTCTTGTGGCCACCACATCAACTGTTGCACAAGATTCACTAAATACGCCCACAACGCCAGTGAGCCGCAATCCTTTGCAGTTTGCTGCACAACCCCCACCGCCACTTGCAGCGCCCGGCGTTGCGCCCACTTTCAGCTACTACAATAGCAACAATAACATTGCTGCTGCAGCTGCTCAGCCTGCTACAAGTTATTTGCAGCATCTACCCCAAGCTACAGGCAAGGAGGAATTGGACGAGTACGTGGACATTTTACAAGTGCAGCAACTATTGCTGGATTCGTCAGCGGCCGCCGCAGCGGCAGCTAACCAGAACGTTGCTAATCCTTCCCAAGAGCAGCAACAGCTACAACAACACCAGCAACAGCAACAACAACAACAACAACAACTCTCTAAACCACGACCGCGCATCAATCTACAAAAAGCATCGGAGTATGCCGCCCAATTAGCGCAGGGTAAGTTCAACCCTTCGATGTGTGAAAGAACTCGGAAATAATTATGGTCTTGAGTTCAAAAATTGCCACAAAACTAAAATCAATTGGCATATAATAGGAATATTAGCAAAAATATAAAACACTTAAAAATCTCATTTTCTTTTTTTGTTGAAAAGAATATAAAATAACAAAGATTTGAGCAGCGAGAGTGATCTATTAAAATAGGCTTTTTCTTTTAAGTACTTCATATTTTGAACAATCTTATTTCCGATAGAACTCAAATTTATGATTTTATGAAACTCTTTTTCCAAATTCATAATTTAGGAAGGCTTCTTATTAAATAGGTTTCACTGACTAAAATAATAGAAACTTAGCTGAATTTTCATAGAAACTTGAGCAGATTTTTTTCTGAGTGTGACTATTGTTGTATTGAAATGCAATACTCATAGATTACTTTTCCTAACAGCTGAGACAACATCGCCTGCATCGCGTCGCGTATTGCTGGACTACCCGAATCCGTATCTGTACGGCAATCATTATCATCACACGCCGCCAAGTGAGGACCTTGTGGCCCTTTGGTTTGGCAGCAATGGAACAGGTGAGTCATTCAGTCCCATATACATATAGAGAGAGATATATTTAGAGAAGTCGATATGCAGCAGACCCCCAACAAGTGCAGCATTTAATTAATAATTACCTCCAGTCGAGTGTGAATAGTTGTCATAGGCGAGTGGCGCGAATGCATTCATAAGTGTATCTGCCAGATACGAGCTGCCAACACGAAAATGCAATAAAACGGCTAGTTGCGAAGTTAGAAGGAGTTGACTTCGAAAATGTAATACACTTTAAAAAATAAGGCATATATATAGCGCATTAAAATATCAAAATTCCATTGCATAAATTGTTTTAAAATAAATTTAAGACACCTGAAATATTCGCCGATTGAGAGCATTACATGTTTCATCTTCATAATTGAATTTTTCTGAAATACACCAGACATATTGATGATAAATGAGATCTTATTGATTAACTCCTCACTCTAACTTTTTGGAAACTTTAGTCATAGATCCTTATAAAAAGAGTTCCATAAGCTTCAAAGATACTTTCGCTCATGTCAGTTTCATTGAAATGTATTTCTCAAACACTTGAACCGATCGAACTCAGTTAATGCGAGTGTATTCATAAACATATTATTTTGTCTCTGGCATTTGATGGCGCCTCGTACATATTTTTGGCTGTCTCATTGCATAATTCACTGGCGACTGGCGATGTTGCTGGCGTCAAGGGGCCGGTCTCCATGTTCCATGTTCCATGCTGCAGTTACTCAAAATTATCGTAGTGCGGCTATAAATTGCCAAAATTAATCTATGAATGAGCTGACAGGCCGAGTTGTCTGAGTATATTATATTATTCTTCAAACTCTCCTACCCCCCTCTCCGACCATCTCTCTCACTCACAGTCTGTTGCTGTGTGCAATAACTTAATAAATACAAAAAAATGTGCGCACTTTAATGCCGGTCGCTTGTAATATTTGACGGCGCCTTCAATGGATAGCGTTCTCTTGCAGTCGACGACGCTCTTTTTGAAACGTTGCCAAAAACTTGAAATTGAATTCGCAAATGATGCAGCGCATTGGCCCCCAGCGCCCTTTCGCTATTTTTTTTTTTTTCATTTTTTTTTCTTGTTTTTGCCATGGCAATGGGCAACAGGTGTTGGCGCAGGTCTGGTCGACCACCGCTCCACTCCCTCTCTCTCCTCTTCTGTCTGTGGGGGCCACTTGGAAATGCATGTAATGGTCGATGTAGTCGTCACACGTTCCATCGATTACTCTGTCTGACGTTTTGGGTTTGGTCGCCGACTTTGCGGCTCTGCCAAAATTAAGTCAGCGCCAAGACCACCCAAAGTGTGTCAATGTTGCGTCTTTCTATGATGTACAGATCGAACCAGATTGTGCACAGAATATGATCTTCCTCACGTAAACAATAGCTATAGCTATTTTTATTATTTGTATAGTCTAGCTTATAGGGAATACATTTAATTTTTTGTAATTGTGATCTTTGCAAATTATTATTATTATCTATGAATGAGAAATTTGATTTGAAAATTCACCATAAATTGTATATATGAAACCATATTTAGCTGATGATCCATTTAGCAACTGCTTGAATATTCCTCTTTTTTTTTAAATCTAAAAATAGTTTGGCATTTCATAAAATCCGTCTAATCCCGCGTCTAACCTTCAAAATTAATCTATTTGCTGACAGTTTTAATGACATATTTTCCCATGCTGTTCAGCAACGAATCATTTTGGTTTGAAATGACAATCTTTTGCTAAGGTCACAAAGAATTGACTCTCAGGCTCGCATATGCTGTAACAAGGTTATTTAATTTGCTCATTTTGCAACAGTTGCCACTGATTCTGATTGTGATTCTGATTCTGATTCTGATTCGGACTATGGTTTCAATAGTATTTCCCCCTTTAAAGCGACAAGCAGACCAGTTGCTGTTAAGTACTCGTATTTCCAAGATGCACACAAATTGCCTTAATTAATTAATATCATAAATACGCGACGGCGCTTAATTGTCGAATGGAGCAGCAAAAACGTCGCAGAGACACAGCAAAAATAAACAAAACAAAAAAAAATCGGTCTCTCATGGCAACGCTAATTAGCCAGGAAATGACCCCAGCTGACCGATCGGCAGCAGAAATTGCAGCCACAGTAGTCACACAGCTGACTGACCCTAATCGACAGGAAGCTGACTCAATCTGAGCAGCAAAACACAGACAGACTGACTGACAGACGGATAGTTAGACAGGCCATGGCCATATTCTGTTGCACTTCAGTTGCAATCAATATTCATAAATCTCTTTCACTCCGTCTCTCAAAGGTTTACCACCAATTAATAACGTGACCCGTTTTATATATGCGATATATATATATGTATATATATATACAGAATCAAGCTGGGTGATCGTTTCCAATGAAAATCACACACAAAGCCTTTCAGCGTTTGTCAACAACGTTGACACCACAACAAACTGGCAAACTTGCAACTGGCAGCAACACGAAGCAAACTGCCAAGAAAACTGCAAGAAAATTAAGGCGACAATCGGCGCTGGGGCAACCTTTGCGCCTTTGTGCAACGGAAATCGCTGACATGGACCACACCAGAGCCAGCAGCAGCAGCAGCAGCAGCAACAGCAACTCCATGCCGACTACTGTCTGCCTGTCGTCTCAGCAAGCCATTGAGGCTTGCCTAATGTTTAATTAAGGTGATTGCTGTGCGGTCACTTGAACGTTGTTGTTGTTGTTATGGTTGTTGTTGTTGTTGCTGTTGTTGCAGTTGCTGCTTGAGGTTGCTTGCTGTTGTTTGGCTGACAACAACACCTCACGAATGATCACCAAATTGGTTTGTAAGGATCTAAGCGTGCTTCGCTCGCCCATGTCAAACACTTTGGGCCAAAGGACATCAAACCCCGATCGTCCCGCTTGTTCTTCCCCCCCTGCTCGGCCCAAACGCCATTGGCGCTGATTGCCAGACAGGGCCCCAGCTTTAATGAAGATTAATTGCAATCAGTGCGCCAGTTGAGCGGCGATTAATTGCAGAGCTGGTGAAAGAGAGTGACTTGCACAAATGGAAATGAGCTAAGGAAACTGCAATATTGGCCTAGACTTCCTCCTAGGCGGCACTCAACCTACAGTGCTGATGATGTGCATTGCCTGTCAGTGCTGCCAACATTTGACAAGCCAGAAAAAAGGCTAGCCTTAAAGAACCATTTTGATATTTAAAAACCGTTAAGAGTTTTTTTAAATTTCAAACAAACAGTTTGCCACTGTTTTTTTCCTTGAAGGCGTCTCATTGAAAATGCTTAAATTCGTCAAAGAATCCGGGTAGAGGGAAGAGCTATATACTCAGAAAGGACACAATTGATTTAGTCCCCAATTATAATAAAGCTGATTATTATCAAGAATTTTAAAACAGATTGCACAAAAAATACGTATATTATTCATTAATATATTTACTTTATATGATAAGTAACAGAACTTGCCAATTCAGTTAAAATTTCGATGGCACTTAAAGTAGCCACATTAGAGGGGAATACAAATGAATGGAAAGGGGCACCACTGTTGCCTGCTCCTATGTGAGGCAAATGTATGCCTCTGCTTCTGCCTCTGCTTCTGCCTTTGCCTTTGCCTTTGCCTTTGCGTTTGCCTTTGCCTTTGGTCGTGGCTTTGTGTGCGGTTCACAAGTTCACAAGACCTCACGAGACGCAGTTGCGGGCAACTTAATTGCCATTTACATGGCAAATGTTGAATGGCGTTTGCTGCCGGCTCAATACTTTGTTGGTGGCACAATGCAGCTGATGAATTGCACTGGGAGAGTTGCCAAACTGCAATGATTTGTCACAGTTCTTCTCTGTGGCTGGAGCCACTACCAAAAGCATAATGAATCTGGCAGACTCATAAATTTGACCAGCAAAACGGAGCGAATCAAAGTTTATCAACATTTCTTGTGTGGGCTGGAAAAGTGTGCCATGAATGGATCTGATGAGCGAGTCATAAACATTTTCTATATTACTTAATATGTTTTATTTATTTATTTATTTATTTATTTTTTCGCATTGTCACCTGCTGCCATGAGTTTCGAACTGGCGCCAGTCTATCAACCAGACTCTGTCCGACGTCTCGGACCGGCCCAAACAAATTAAATCAAATGTTTATATCAGAAAACCGCAACACGTGGGCAGTTATATATATATTTTTTTTTTAGTTTTGTGGTTTGCATTTAACTTTGCTTAAGTTATAATTTGTGTATCTGTATATCGCTTTAACGGCTTTCAAAGTGAACGCCACTTTGGCATCATATTGCTAAAAATAGAGTCATAGCTCAGAGGCCAAAAGTTGGTATGGAGTTATCCAGTATTACATACGAATGTATTTATATAAACTTGTGTGGGTGCCGAGCTACAGAAGCACTTTGAAGCACTTAAATGCAGTCCTAACTTACGAGTAGAATTGAAGAAACTCACAATGGAATCGAAAATATAAATATATATATATATATATTAGCGATATATTTCATTGGATGCATAGTATGGTATTCATAATACATGCAAGAATATTAGACAATATACTAATATATATATATTAATAAATAAAAACTGTACTGCAACAATTTACAAGTCAAATAATAGCTTAATATATATTAATAATAGCAGTCATATTTTGTTCCTTAAAAGTTGTGAATGGGTCAAGTCTCGACGGCGAGAAAAATATGAATGGTTTCAGGTCATCATTGATAGACGTCGCCTTGCTTTTTAGCTACTCGAGATAAACATCAGCCTGAAGATATGCCCACGCAGTCGGCATTAACCTGTTGGCGCCGTCGTTTGTTAAAAGTTGGTAGTAACCCACGCGACATAAGAAAAAAAGTAAAAAAAAAAAACCAACTCAAAACTAAAAACAAATCTAAAAACCGCAAACAATCATTAAAACAAGCAGCGAATAAACTACATAGAAATTTGTTTGATTTTCATTTGCAAAAGCAAACCGCAAATGTATTTGGGATTTGCATAAAAAATTGCTGGCAACAAATCGAACATGAAAACCGGAGAAACACACATC